GGGCAGAGCAGCTGGGGTGCTGCTGGGTTGGTCCCGCCGTGCCAAGGGTCGGCGCTACCAGACCAACCCAGCAGCACTCCAGCTGCTGTGCCCCAGGCGTGTCCGATTCAGCCGCTGCTGGTCAGTTTCAACAGTGGCTGAATCTGGACGCCAGTTCTGACTTACATACAAATTCAACTTAAGAACAAACCTACGGTCCCTATCTTGTACGTAACCCGGGGACTGCCTGTACTGCTGTTCACAATAGGGATGTCAAAGGTTAACTAGTGAGAGCTGGAGCAGCTCCCTGCCTGCTCTGGGCAGGGGGCTTCTGTAGTCCCATGGGGCTCAGTACAGACAGGGGCATGCCAGCCTGGCTGAACTAGATCCTGTCCGTGGCAGGACCAGGCATGCCATAGGCTGGGTTGCAGCAGATATCCTGCCTGCCCCTCCTTTAATCAGTTAACCAGTTAAATATTATGTTTAATCAGTTAACCAATTAAACGGGATTTTATATCCCTGGTTCACAGTTGCTAAAGTGGTTATTTAGATTTTTGTGGGCCTGAGGAGGACTTATTGTGTACCCTTTCTCTTTTCTTCCAGTTAATAAACTGTGTACCCTTTCTCTTTTCTTCCAGTTAATGAACTGTGAGAGAACATGCTATATCGATAGTTTATTTTATTTTAGTTTTTTAAATACAAATTCTTGTTACAGAGCGCGAAGAGAAGGAACGTGTTGAGCGTGAAAAACGAGAGCAGGAACAGCGTGAATATCAGGAGCGTGTCAGAAAATTAGAAGAAGTAGAGAGGAAAAAACGTCAAAGAGAGCAGGAAATTGAAGAGAGGGAGCGTCGCAGAGAAGAGGAGAGGAGAGGTCTTGATGACCCACTTTCAAGAAGGGTATTGTGTGCGCTTTTTTTTAATGGAATAGTTGCTCTTCTATATTTTGCAAGGAGTTGAAAATGCAGCTTAGGTGAGCTCATGAAAGCAGTGTAGGGGTGCACAGCTTGTAAGGAAAAGTTTAGTTAAATTCTCTGTGACTATTTGCTTGTCTAGTTAGAAGTTATTACTGGGGTGTCAGCAATTGACAGTTTATTCATTGCTTTGCCATAGAAAATTAGTTGTCAACAAATTACACCAATATGTTTAAAGCGGGGCTACTCAACATGGAGCCCGTGGCCTGTTTGTTTGTGGCCTGCAGCACAATTTGGGTTTACACGGGGCACAACATGTGGCCCGCAGGTGGGATCCTTTGAACATGGCCACCACTGGGAACATTCTCCACAATGGCGAGGTGTCTCCTAGGCGGGATGAGCATTGAAAGACACAAGTCGACAGACTGGCTGGAACAGACAGGTACAGGGTGTTGGCGTTTCTAGCCCCCAGAAAGGAGGTGCTGGGAGCGCCGGAGCACTATGGGAAGTGCTGGCTGCTTAGCCTTGTGGGCAGAGCGTTAGAGGTGCTGAATGGCTCTCACTGGCCACATTTGAGTCCGGCATCGCAGCTTAAGGCTTAATCTTTGTATTCATGCCCGTCATGAAAGAAGCTATTTGCATGTCTTCTTTGAGTGTTGTACCTGGGGGTGCTCCACAGTTGGCGTCAGGCTCATCATGGCACCACACATCGGAGACTTCGAGAGCAGTGATCAGGTGGGCTGCGCATGTGTGAGTGGAGAGCAGTGCTCCTGCCTTTGAAGTAGCACGAGCTGCCCGCTTCTCCTCAGTTCCTTCATTGCCGCCCTCAGCCACAGACGGAGCTCAGTTCTCTCCTCCTCAGTGTGCTCTGCAGGACAAAGCAGAACCACCTTATCAGATTAGGTGCCTCAGTACTACCTTCTTTTTACACAGAAAACAAACAAAAGAAGCCAGCGCCGCCACCAGGTTTACCGCCAGGCAGCGGCAAGCAAACAAAAGAAAAAGGAAACAGAAACCCACGACCCACAGTCAGTCTCCGATGCTTGTACAGTTATAGATAGCTTCTGGGACACATGCCAGACTCTGCTAAGGAGAAAAGATGCGGCAAATGCCGAGAATTTATGCCCGCCACTGATGCCCACAGGGAACATATATGCTATGTGGGGTACACACATGTACCTCAGAAATGTGTCCATTGCTGTAGCCTCACAATCAGAGCTTGCAAAGAAAAGGAACTCAGTGTGCACGCAGTCTATGGATCCTTGGACCCCCATAATTATCAAAGGGGCAATAAGGGCTCGAGTGCAGCTTCTCCTCAGGGAAAACATCCAAGCCCTTCTCCTCAGAGAACACGCTCAGAACCTAGACCCTCACCAGCCTGCTCCCTCCCCTCAAGAATTAGCAAAGGAGAGGAGCCAGGCACTTCAGGCATAGAGCAGCTGGGGTGCTGCCGGGTTGGGCCCGCCGCGCCAAGGGTTGGCGCTACCAGACCAACCCAGCAGCACTCCAGCTGCTGTGCCCCAGGCGTGTCCGATTCAGCCGCTGCTGGTCAGTTTCAACAGTGGCTGAATCTGGACGCCAGTTCTGACTTACATACAAATTCAACTTAAGAACAAACCTACGGTCCCTATCTTGTACGTAACCCGGGGACTGCCTGTACTGCTGTTCACAATAGGGATGTCAAAGGTTAACTAGTGAGAGCTGGAGCAGCTCCCTGCCTGCTCTGGGCAGGGGGCTTCTGTAGTCCCATGGGGCTCAGTACAGACAGGGGCATGCCAGCCTGGCTGAACTAGATCCTGTCCGTGGCAGGACCAGGCATGCCATAGGCTGGGTTGCAGCAGATATCCTGCCTGCCCCTCCTTTAATCAGTTAACCAGTTACATATTATGTTTAATCAGTTAACCAATTAAACGGGATTTTATATCCCTGGTTCACAGTTGCTAAAGTGGTTATTTAGATTTTTGTGGGCCTGAGGAGGACTATTGTGTACCCTTTCTCTTTTCTTCCAGTTAATAAACTGTTGTGAGAGAACATGCTATATCGATAGTTTATTTTATTTTAGTTTTTTAAATACAAATTCTTGTTACAGAGCGCGAAGAGAAGGAACGTGTTGAGCGTGAAAAACGAGAGCAGGAACAGCGTGAATATCAGGAGCGTGTCAGAAAATTAGAAGAAGTAGAGAGGAAAAAACGTCAAAGAGAGCAGGAAATTGAAGAGAGGGAGCGTCGCAGAGAAGAGGAGAGGAGAGGTCTTGATGACCCACTTTCAAGAAGGGTATTGTGTGCGCTTTTTTTTAATGGGATAGTTGCTCTTCTATATTTTGCAAGGAGTTGAAAATGCAGCTTAGGTGAGCTCATGAAAGCAGTGTAGGGGTGCACAGCTTGTAAGGAAAAGTTTAGTTAAATTCTCTGTGACTATTTGCTTGTCTAGTTAGAAGTTATTACTGGGGTGTCAGCAATTGACAGTTTATTCATTGCTTTGCCATAGAAAATTAGTTGTCAACAAATTACACCAATATGTTTAAAGCGGGGCTACTCAACATGGAGCCCGTGGCCCGTTTGTTTGTGGCCTGCAGCACAATTTGGGTTTACACGGGGCACAACATGTGGCCCGCAGGTGGGATCCTTTGAACATGGCCACCACTGGGAACATTCTCCACAATGGCGAGGTGTCTCCTAGGCGGGATGAGCATTGAAAGACACAAGTCGACAGACTGGCTGGAACAGACAGGTACAGGGTGTTGGCGTTTCTAGCCCCCAGAAAGGAGGTGCTGGGAGCGCCGGAGCACTATGGGAAGTGCTGGCTGCTTAGCCTTGTGGGCAGAGCGTTAGAGGTGCTGAATGGCTCTCACTGGCCACATTTGAGTCCGGCATCGCAGCTTAAGGCTTAATCTTTGTATTCATGCCCGTCATGAAAGAAGCTATTTGCATGTCTTCTTTGAGTGTTGTACCTGTGGGTGCTCCACAGTTGGCGTCAGGCTCATCATGGCACCACACATCGGAGACTTCGAGAGCAGTGATCAGGTGGGCTGCGCATGTGTGAGTGGAGAGCAGTGCTCCTGCCTTTGAAGTAGCACGAGCTGCCCGCTTCTCCTCAATTCCTTCATTGCCGCCCTCAGCCACAGACGGAGCTCAGTTCTCTCCTCCTCAGTGTGCTCTGCAGGACAAAGCAGAACCACCTTATCAGATTAGGTGCCTCAGGACTACCTTCTTTTTACACAGAAAACAAACAAAAAAAGCCACCGCCGCCACCAGCTTTACCGCCAGGCAGCGGCAAGCAAACAAAAGAAAAAGGAAACAGAAACCCACGACCCACAGTCAGTCTCCGATGCTTGTACAGTTATAGATAGCTTCTGGGACACATGCCAGACTCTGCTAAGGAGAAAAGATGCGGCAAATGCCGAGAATTTATGCCCGCCACTGATGCCCACAGGGAACATATATGCTATGTGGGGTACACACATGTACCTCAGAAATGTGTCCATTGCTGTAGCCTCACAATCAGAGCTTGCAAAGAAAAGGAACTCAGTGTGCACGCAGTCTATGGATCCTTGGACCCCCATAATTATCAAAGGGGCAATAAGGGCTCGAGTGCAGCTTCTCCTCAGGGAAAACATCCAAGCCCTTCTCCTCAGAGAACACGCTCAGAACCTAGACCCTCACCAGCCTGCTCCCTCCCCTCAAGAATTAGCAAAGGAGAGGAGCCAGGCACTTCAGGCACGGCAAAGTCTCGAGCCTCCTCAATAACGGCCTCAAAGACAAGAACATTATGGCAGATACCCTCAACTTCCTCACAGAACACAAGTGGGAACTACATGATCAGATCACCCAGAAGCTGTTCCACCGATGGGGGCGACCACAGAGAGATCTTATTGCCACCAGGCAGAACTCCAAATGTCCCCAGTATTGCTCCTGAGCAGGCACAGGGCATAGCTCATTTGGGGGGAGCCACCTATTGTGTGCTTTCCCACCCATTCTTCTCATTCCCAAAGTCTCCCGGAAGACAGAGACGGATGGGGCCCAGGTGATTTTGATAGCCCCAGCCAGGGCCCGACAGACATGGTTCACATGTCTTTATCACCTGTCTCTACGCTCTACCTACTCACTTCTGAACTGCCCCAGAGCTGCTCTCCCAGAACCAGGGGTCAGTACTTCACCCCCAACCACAAATTCTGCGCCTGATGGCATGGTACCTATCTGGTTCTCGGCAGCAGAGCAGCAGTGCTCCCAACAAGTGAAAAATGTTCTGCTGCATAGCAGGAGACAAACAACACACAAGATTTACCTATACAAGTGGCACTGGTTTACACAATGATGTACACCCAGGGCATTCGAGCCATTCAGGGCTCCGCTCCACCAAGTACTGGAGTACATCATGCACCTGAAATAACAAAATTTGTCAATTTCACCGCTCAGGGTGCACATGGCCGCCATTACAGCTTTCCACCCTCCCATTGATGGGTTCTCCATATTTGCCCATCCCATCTCAAAAAGATTGTGAAAGGGCCTGCAGAACCGTCACCCTCCTTAGAAACCCATTCCCCCCATGTGGGACTTAAAATTGGTCCTACACTCACTCACAAGACTTTTGAACCAATGGCAACCGTACCACTTAATTTTCTTACCATGCAAATGTTGTTCCATCTGGCAATCACTTCTGCAAGGTGGGTCAATGAACTCGCAGCTCTCACGTCCTCGCCTCCAAACACGACCATATGGTCATTCTGCAGCCACACCTGTTCTTCTTACCCAAAGGAAACTCAGAAGTCCATATCAATGAACCGATAGTCCTTTCCACTTTCTATCCAAAACCCCATAATTCCAGGGAAGAAGACATATTACACACCCTGGACGTCAGAAGGGCATTTGCCTTCAATCTCAATAGGACTCAATCCTTTTGATCATCCCAGAGATTGATGGTTTCCTTGGCTGAGAGGTCCCAGGGAAAACCGCTGTCTTCCCAGTGCATATCAAAACTCATAACATGCATTGCTACATGCTACTTGTTCCAGAATAGGGCATTACCAATGAATCCAAAGGCCCACTCTACCAGAACTATGGCGACATTGGCTGCTTTCCGAAAGGGAGTCTCACTCCAGGAAATATGCAGAGCAGCAACATGGTCGTCTAATCACACCTTCACAAAGCATTACGCTGTTCCACCATGCTCCACAACAGATACCGCAGTAGCCAACGCGGTTCTCTCCACAATCTATATCAATTGATCGAAGCCCACTGTCCATCTCAATGGGCGCTGCGACACAGTCACCAACAGTGGAGCACCTATGGGGACATTACTCGAAGAAGAAAGAAGATGCTCAGTTACCTGCCCTTCTCCCCAGTTCTTCAGGCAATAATAGCAGCCCACTAGGGCGTCAAAGAAGAAACAGGGGAGAAGTGGGAGCGCCGCTTTCCACTTTCGCATGAGCAGCCCATCCAATCACTACTTGCAAAGTCTCCGATCTGTGGTGCCAGGACGAGCCTGACACCAACTATGGAACATCCATGGGGTCACCCATCTTGAAGAACAATCGTTACTGCATGAAGTGAGTAACTTCTCTATATATTTGCATGAATATGCAACCACACCTAATTCTGCGGCCCTCAGCATGTGCTGAGAGTATCATTGTGGCCCCAGACTTTCCAAGTTGAGTAGCCCTGGTTTAAAGGAATAGAGAATAGATTTTCTTGGTAAGCACAGATGAATTGGGAGGGACCAATGAAGAACAAAACTGTAATGGCTTATGCTAAAGTTGTGAATCACAATAGCCATTAAAGGAAAACTCCAGTCTAAATATAATAATCTACTCAATCTATCAGGACTAAAAATATATTTAAAAAGTGAGCTTATTTTGAAAATGTAATATGAAATGGGAGTGAAATAATCCTCTTTCCCAGTAGAGTACACTGAAAATAATCATTTAAAAATCCAAAATTTTAAGTTAAATTGTGTCGTCATTTTTTGGGACTAGTTTAATTATAAAGGCAATCCAAAAATGTGTGTTACATCCTGCATCTTATCTATACAAAACATTGAACTTTTTTCTATTTTTTAATGCTTGCTAATGGGAAGGCTTGTTTTAGGTCCTCCTTTTGATGTGTTGTTCACGGAGATACTGAAACAAGTGTACTTGTAGAAGTATTTTTCTATAAATATTTTTGAAAAAGTGGTGGTTCTTAGCAAACATTTTTTGCTACCTAAATCCACCACCCCATTTAATACAGGTGACACCCTTCACAATCACACTAGATTCTTGTGTGAATCTAGAAATTAAACCTAAAGAAATATAATTTGAAGGGCTCGACAAATTATACATCTACTTGCCCATGGCGAGTAGATTGTAACCCGGAAGAGCCGGGTCCCATCGATCTGCACATGCTCAGATCGCCGGACAACGCGGCCGGCAAGCAGGACTCACCGCGGTTTGGCGAGCCCTGATCATTTGTATCATTTCATCTGATAGGTCTGTACCTCATCTTACCTAATTTACAGTTATTCAAGTTTTACATTGTAGAGAATATCAGATTAATTGGTGCCAGAGCATGGTGTTATGTAAATGGCCTGCAAACATTAAAAGTTTTTTTTTTTTATGCTACCAAAGCTGATGCTACTCTTTACCTGTGGTTACAGGAATCTCGTTGGGGTGATTCTGAAGGCACCTGGAGACGAGGCACTGAACCAGAACCAGATAGGAGGCGAGCACCACCAGACAGGTAAATAGAAGGAAATACATTCCTATGGTTGCTGCCCACGTGTCTCTCTTCTACAGCTACAGCTCTGGGAGGGGTGGGTGGAACGTGGACAGAGGTAAGGGGGTTGAGGCTGGGTCCGACAGCTGGAACAGTGACTAGATCCCAGTCATGCCCCCTCTCCCCCCAAATGTTCCTCAGCACACCCCTAGAGACCTTTGCCTAGACTCTGGCCCCTCAAATTCCTTTTCTGCTCTTCTTCGATTCCTACAAATGAGCAAGGAAGAGGTAGTGAAGCAGCCAGACTTATTCTCTTTGTAATTCAGCAGGTGGTTAGCAGGGGAGCAAATGTAGTCTGGAAGGGACAACAGTTGTTCCAAGCAATTCCTGGGATAGGAGGGGAGATGTTGCCTCCTACCTCCTCTTGACAGTGATGAGGCTGAATCAGACACTTCCAGTTAAAAATGGCAATGGGACTGGTTGGGGAGCGCATCTCACACTTTCTTCATAATGTGCATCAACCCACTGCTCTGAAACATAAATCTTTCTTGTATATAAAGTTCCACTTCTCACTCTTTTCATGTGGTTTCATAGGGAATGGCGCCGTGGAGAAGCACGTGATGATGAAAGACCTTTTCGAAGAGGAGATGATCTCCTTAGACGTGGTGGTGCTGAAGAAAAAGACCCTTCTCTTCAGGAAGCAAATGAAGACAGAGCCCCCAAGCAGGATGTAGATGAGGATGGGGGGCCCAGGCGGGGCGTGGATGAGGATGGGGGGCCCAGGCGGGGCGTGGATGAGGATGGGGGACCCAAGCGGGGCGAGGATGAGGATGAGGATGAGGGACCCAGGCGGGGTGTGGATCAAGATGGGGGACCTAGGCAGAGTGTAGATGAGGATGGGGGACCCAGGCGGGGAGTGGATCAGGATAGAGGGAGTTGGCGTGCTGCAGATGACGACAGATGGATGAGGATGGGGGGCCCAGGCGGGGCGTGGATGAGGATGGGGGACCCAAGCGGGGCGAGGATGAGGATGAGGATGAGGGACCCAGGCGGGGTGTGGATCAAGATGGGGGACCTAGGCAGAGTGTAGATGAGGATGGGGGACCCAGGCGGGGAGTGGATCAGGATAGAGGGAGTTGGCGTGCTGCAGATGACGACAGATGGATGAGGATAGGGGGCCTAGGCGAGGCCTGGATGAGGATAGGGGGCCTAGGCGAGGCCTGGATGAGGATAGGGGGCCTAGGCGAGGCCTGGATGAGGATAGGGGGCCTAGGCGAGGCCTGGATGAGGATAGGGGGCCTAGGCGAGGCCTGGATGAGGATAGGGGGCCTAGGCGAGGCCTGGATGAGGATAGGGGGCCTAGGCGAGGCCTGGATGAGGATAGGGGGCCTAGGCGAGGCCTGGATGAGGATAGGGGGCCTAGGCGAGGCCTGGATGAGGATAGGGGGCCTAGGCGAGGCCTGGATGAGGATAGGGGGCCTAGGCGAGGCCTGGATGAGGATAGGGGGCCTAGGCGAGGCCTGGATGAGGATAGGGGGCCTAGGCGAGGCCTGGATGAGGATAGGGGGCCTAGGCGAGGCCTGGATGAGGATAGGGGGCCTAGGCGAGGCCTGGATGAGGATAGGGGGCCTAGGCGAGGCCTGGATGAGGATAGGGGGCCTAGGCGAGGTATGGATGAGGATAGGGGGCCTAGGCGAGGCCTGGATGAGGATAGGGGGCCTAGGCGAGGCCTGGATGAGGATAGGGGGCCTAGGCGAGGCCTGGATGAGGATAGGGGGCCTAGGCGAGGCCTGGATGAGGATAGAATTTCCAGACGAGATGAGGACAGAGGACCCTGGCGTAGTGCAGATGAGGATCGATTGTCAAGGCGTGATGATGACCGGGGTCCATGGCGTGGTGGGGATGATGACAGAGGGCCTAGACGTGGTGATGATTCAAGACCTGGACCTTGGAGACCATTTGGTAAACCAGGTAAAATAATTTTGTAATTAAACTATGGATTATTCATGGTTCTCTCCATTTTCTAAAATTTTCATGGTTCTTTCTTTCCATTTTCAAAATTTGCTGAGTTTAGTAAGATGTATAATTAAGTATTAGATATTTGAGAGAGAGCAGAAATAACTGTTATTTTAAAACCAAGATTAGATGTGTTTCTGAAAGATATGCTATTGTTCACTCTAGAAACGAGGAATTAATATGAATCAAATAATTTTCTGTTGTAAATGACTGGATCAAACAGGTTAATCTGGATGCTCTTTTTAAATGATCCTTTTCCATTTTATTAATTTTTTTAAAATGAATCAGTATTTATTGCTTCTGTAGCAAATACTTAAAAGTCAAATATTAATGCTAGGGCAGAATCAGATACTGTATTAATAGTTTTGACTCCCTTTTTAATCTATCCCAGAGCTCAACCTTATTTAAAGAGAATTTGGAATTCATCAGCCAAAACGGACTTTGGTATTTCTGTGGTTTTGTGTGCCTTTTTATGTATAGCATGCACAAAATATTTCGAGTCATTTATTTGAAGTCTTAGCTAATAATGGCTAAAACAGTTGTTTTCTGTACACATATGCGTAGCTAGGTCTGAACTATTGAGGGTATCGTCAATACTTTTATTATCTTCTGGTAACTTTTTTAATGTTGTAGTTAAGAAAAAGCACAGATGTTAAATGCAAAGATTTAAACAATAAATGTAATAATTTTGAAATCCAGTTCTAATATGGTAAGTGAATAAGCCCCAGTACTCACCCTTCAAAAGCTTTCCTTTCTCCATTCGTAAGAAAGACGGGATGAACAATGTGTAATAGAGGAGTACTACTAATACATGCAACTAAGAATTATAAATCATGGAATGGTATAGCAAGAGTATCAAACAAATTGATTGAAATAGTAATTCAGATTTTAAAAGTAGTAACTATGATCCTCAAAATTAATGTTGATTTCTGATAAAGTTCATCTTGTTTAAAATCTTTTGCCCTGATAGAGTAGGCTGAGGAAGTGTTGGCTGTTAGAGGTTATACTAATGACCTGTTGTTTAGTGCTTATTTTGACGTTTGCCAGTGAGGTCTCTGAGATGTTTGGCATTCTATTAGGTGAAAGAGATTTGACTATAGGTTCTTCTTCAAATCTTTGTTTTTTGTGGTTCCCACTTGCGGTGGGAGCCACAGGAACAAAAACATGAAGCAGAATCATTGTAAAGGCAAGAAAACCGTTCTCTCTTGACTACTTTGATTGTCAGAAAATAATGTGATTCCTTTTGTTACTAATAGGTGGATGGAGAGAACGAGAAAAAGCTCGTGAAGACAGTTGGGGACCCCCGCGAGACTCCAGACCTTCAGAAGATCGTGAGTGGGATAGAGATAAAGATCGTGATGAGAACGAAAAGGATCGTGAGTTTGACAAAGATCGTGACTTTGATCGGGATGATCGCTTCAGACGTCCAAGGTTTGATTTTCCTATTAATATTGGTAGGGCTTTTATTTTTTTGATATTTTTTGTAAAGGGAAAATAACATTTGGCTTTTTTCCTTTCATGAAATTAGTCATATCTTTAAAGCAATAAACAAATTACATTTTTTCATATTATGAAGAAAACGAATTGTTTCCAGAGCAACCACAAAGTGGTTTTACTGGTCACTTTTAAAAATAGTTGCAATCTTTTTCTTAATCAATACTGAGCATTGACCTTAGGTTTCACTAAAATAAAAGATCTGAACTTTAAACAGTCCAATAAATTTTTCTCAAATGCTGCCCAGTGTCTGGTATACTTATCATATTGAAACAGTGTTTCAGGTAACTATTGCAATTTTTTACACTGTTGTGTTCACTGTCTCAGAAGCCAGAGTATAAAGTGTTACTTACATTTATTTCTTTTTAATTGACAAAAGGGATGAGCCTGGCTGGAGGAGAGGACCAGCTGAAGAAGTTTCCAGCTGGAGAGATTCCAGTCGTAGAGATGAATGGGATAGAGGTGGTCGTGACCTCAGAGATGACCGGGGTGGTCGTGATCTTAGAGATCGGCGTGTTGATGATAGAGACAGAAGAGGACCTCCAATCAGAACAGAGCGTGAAGAAAGTATGTTTGTTTCCCCTTACCAGTTGAAATATTTGTCACTGGGGCTCATTTACAATAAGGCTCCTTTACAATACTCTGACAATGTAAAAGGGCCTTGAAGTGGAGTAACTTAACGTGTGTAGTTAAGGTCCCTTTTACTGTCAATCCCCACTGCCAGATGGTATAAAAGGAAGGGGGTTTCATGTAAATGCATCTGGCCCTGAATCTTTTAAAAAAAATGTTTCATGTAAATGCATCTGGCCCTGAATCTTTAAAAAAAAAAAAAATTTTACCCCAGTAGACCTTCATCATTTGGGTTGTTAGATCAGTGAGAATAAGACTATTACAAATTTCCAAGGGGTAGCCAAGTTAGTCTGTAACAGGAAAAACTTAAAAAATGACAAATTTTCTGGTAGCACTTTAAAGACTAACAAAACATGTAGATGGTATCATGAGCTTTTGTGGGCATAGCCCACTTCTTCCGCTATTAAAAATGTCACTAGGAGTTCTTAGTGAAAAAACATACTGTTGTCTGACATGAAGCTATTCACAGGTTTCACCCAACAGTGTTGGCTGGGGAAAAGTTTTTTGGGGCCAGTAAACTGTCCTCCTTTACAGTCTTTAACCCAGTAGTTAAAGCCATTTGCCTGGGATGCGGGAGATGTAGGTTTATATCCCCATTCAGGAGCAGAGACTTGTACTCATATCTCCGCTCCCAGGTGAGCGTCTTGACCACCAGATTATAGGCTGCACTGTGGTGGATTGCTCTTAATCTTTCCTCTTAAAGCAGTTCCATTTTGTAGAAATACTTAAATATTCATTGAGCCAAAGTGAGTTGGAGATGTGGATTCAAATCCTACCTCTGAAAAGATCTGAATTGGTCATTTGAATCCACATCTGACTCACTGGGTAAGTACGTGTCCTCATTACAGCCACAGTGTATGTGAATGTGCTTAAATCCCATTTGCTTCAATCCAGAATAGGGCTATTGCCCTGTATCTGGCCCTCACTGATAAAATGGAGTAGGAAGTGCTGTGCAAGACATTCTGACAACTGAAAGGAGGAGGAACAACTTGTTTTCAGCCCTGAGATTGTTTTATTTTATGTTAGTTGTGTATTCAAAAGTGTCTTCCATTTAACTTTCACATTATTGGAAAACAAATTGTGTTCACCTTCTCTCTACTCTGAAATAGTTTCCTATACAGTTTAGTATTTCTAGAGCATTCTTATGTGTAGAATGAGGTATTAATCCACTGAAACTTCTGTTATTTTTGACATGGGGCACATCTAAAACCGTTTTTTTCATATTTATATAAAATTTGGATTTTTCAGATTCATTGTGTTATGAAGTTCAACTGTTTTCTAGTCAGTTTTGAAGTATCTCAGGATTTGGTGGTATTGGCTAATTATCAATTTTTATTTTATTTGCTTTTTAGCTACATAAACAGTGAGTTTATAATGTATATTACACAGTGCTCTAGCTAGATTAAGGCTGGTTCTGTGCAACTGAAAATGGGTCACTAGTGGCAGATTTTCACTACAGCACTGTAAAATTACATTGTGGGCTCTGGACATGGGTGTCACCCTCATCTTGCTGTATTGCTTAAATGGAAGCAGTGATTCCAGCGTGGTAAAGATTGAGAACTACTGAATTAAACAATCAGTGCTAGACTTGTTGATTTAAGCTCTCGTAAGGGACTATAATAATGCCAAAAGTGGTTTCTAATGATCTTGCATGTTTTTAGCGAATTCATGGAGGCGTGGTGATGACAGAAAGGAAGAACAAGGGGAAGAACATGAAACTATCCGGCGAGCTGCTCCAGCTCCTACTTCTACTCCTCCTGCTCCCGCTTCTGCTCCTCCTATTTCAAAAGATAGGGAGAAAGATGCAGAGAGAGAGAAGGGGCCTTGGAGAACAGAAAAAGAGCGAGAACCTCTTCGTCGTGCAAAAAATGAAACAGACGAAGAAGGATGGACAACTGTACGACGTTAAGTCAAAAATTAAACACAGTTTAAACAGGAGTTTTAGTGTTGATTTGATCAAATACACAGATTATTATATTTGTGCTTATAAACATTCGGAATTGGTATTCTTTGACAGATGTTTTGAGGTAACATGAAAGCATGAGCCCGTATTACCTACTCATAATAGATTGATCATGCACAAAACTAGCAGCAGGAGGTTGGAAATTGAATGCCGGTTTCTGACATTTCAAATGCTGCATATTTCACAGATCACTTGTTGCTAAAATAAAAATGTGAACTCTGTAGCTCTCCTGAGCAACACTTATATCTCAAACTAAAACTTACTTTTAAAAAAAAATCTTAATTTGGAATGGGGTATGATTATATCACAGAATATGCAGTTGAAAACAGATCTCACATAAAGTGGTCACATTATTGAAAAGATGGAGCTGGATACATAATTGGCCAAGATGAACTGTAAAAACCCCTCCCCTATTTAGGTATTTTTGAGGGCAAGAGGCTTTGGTAAGGTATTTTATCATTATCTGAATTCAGTAAGTTGTTTAAATTTAAATCAATTACAATAAACATTATGAACATTAGCTACACTGGGATATTTTCTATAGATTTTACTTGAATGTGTATGCCTATGAAGCCATTTTGCAGTGATTGTTCTAATAAAGAATACTGCTGCAGTGCGAAACAACAAAACATCATTAGATTTTTAGAACTCAAGCATGACGGTCAACATACTGCTGGGTACTTTGTTTTGCCAATAGCATAACTGCTTTTTCCATTACTGGATAATTCAAGCCTTTCAAGCATTTATAAATATTGTCATATTTAAAATGTGTGGTTTTGGAGGAATTGTTCGGATTTTTCCCCCAACTCTTTGTCTTCAGGGTAAATGCTTTCCTTTTCAACAAGTGCTTTGTAGTAATGGCTGTGTTGACTGACTTCAATTTTGGGGGTGCAGTAACATTGTTAATCATTAACTATCTGGTCTAATGGAAGCCAACACAGAACTTGCTACTGTGTGTTTCTTCAATGATAAATAAACAACTTCTAGAATTAGCTTCTATAGTTTGACTTTTTAATTAACGTTACTGATGTATTTTCATACAAAAAAAGGCAAGCTGCTTAACTTAATCCCTTCCCTTTTCTGTGCTAATTGAAAGTAACTTGCTTCTTGAATGGTTTTCTTACTGGGAAGCAGTGATTAATATGAGAAACATGAACTTAAAGTTATGCCCTTCATCTTGTCCCTTTTTCTGCACCCTCCATGAAAAACCTTCACTTTTACACCATTATCTTCTTTTGAGGATCAGATGAAGGTTGATCAGCTCTGTTCCTTATCTGCACCCTCCATGAAAAACCTTCACTTACACCATTATCTTCTTTTGAGGGTCAGATGAAGGTTGGTCAGCTCTGTTCCTTAGTTGGTCATAGCAATTGCTTCAAAGCAACACTATGCTGCTTAGCAAAGCAGGACCTTGCACCACCTCTGTATCATCTTATCCTGAGAGAGGTGGAACCAGAGAATAGGACTCAACCCTTTGTGATAACAGTGTACTGACCACAAGTACACACTGGCTAGTCTTTTAGATATTTGTAGTTGTTCCTACCATGCACTTCTAGACTGAAAAGTGATTATAACAAACCAATTGTTTTCCCCTTTTTTCATGAATAAAACTGTACTTGTTTGGGGTACATGTTACATATATACACATGACTTTTTTCTAAGATTCTTCCACCATGGAATTCTTCTCTTATAGCAAAAATCAGTTCCAGAATCTAAAGCTTACATTTAAAAAATTGAGCCTGTGTGACCCTTGAAAATACAGATCAAGTACAGACAGGCTTGAGGTCTGTGCACACCCTAGAAAAGTTCTGAGATGTGAACTGTTCCCATTCATCTTAGTGGCCTACTAACTTGAATTAAAAGATAACCACTTTAAATGTTATGTTTTTTATTTTACTAGATATCTCCCATGCTTCTTCAGATGCTGAAGCCTCCTTCCCAACAGCTTGAGATACAACTATGCATTATTAATACATAAGATTTTTTTAAATAATTGTGATAAAGCTCAGTTTGATGGAAATTGAGCTGATTTGCTTTCATCACTAACTCTTCATTTTTGTTTAAACTGTTTGAGAACATAGGTCCAGCTTGCTCATTTTTAAGGATGTATAAAACATGTTCAGGTGTTAAATCACTGCTAGATTACTCCTTTTGCCTCTTATATTTGTGATGAGAGGGGGTAGATTGCAATGAGATGCAGTTTTTAAAAATTTCTGATTTTGATTATTTGCCACTCTTTTGTTGCTAGAGGGTCTCCATACGCAAACTCCTAGCTACATGTTTATTAATTCCCTGGGTATTTCGAGTCATCTTGAAATTGCAAGTTACATAGGTTTTATAAATGTCACCAAAGGAGTGCATTAGAGGATCACTTAATAGTGAAATGTATACATTTTTTGATGAATCTGTAGTAGAACATCTAGCCAGCAGGGGGAATGCTATTACTTTGTCTGCTTTTCATTTACATTTGAAACTAGGCTACTTTTTGTAGTAGTGGAATGCTTATATTGCAGCTCTAAGGACAAGATTTGCCATTGCATAATTAGAATCTTACTTCAATAATGTAATGCTACTAGAGTGCTGAGTCATCCTGCTGTTTGTTGTACAGCCAAGTATCTGTAGAATGTATTACAAGTATCCCTCTAAAATGTTCATGTGATGTGGCTGCCAGGTTAGCTTACTGGTTATGGAGTATGAATCTTTGTGACAGAAGCCATCTTGCTATGGTCATTTAAAATGAACTTCCATTTACTATATTACATGCCGAAATTGCTTCTGTACTTCACACTAGGGATGTGAATGGGTGATGCTTCAGTTGTGTAATCATCATGAGTGGAAACAACCCCAATCCCTACCCTCACCTCTTACATCATGCAGGGGGTCTGCCTTAGTCCTGCAGGTCCTGCCACTAGTAGGGGCACTGTTAACTGGTCATCTGAAGAAGAGCTGTGCCCACAAACTCATGATACCAGCTATAGGTTTTATCTGTAAAATGCTACCAGACTTTTTGTTCTTTTACATTTATTCTGTACAGACTAATTTGGCTACCCCTTGAAGCAGCTGGTTAAACAATGTTTGACCAGTTAATTCAACAGGCTTTTACATCCCTACTCCACACAACTTAAAGACTAAGTTACTCTTAAACTAGCCCTCTCTGCTTAACCTTCCCGTGATGCCTAGGGTTTAGATTATCTAAAAATATCTGATTAAATAGACCGACTTGACAAAAAAAAGTGTAAAATTCACTTTCACCGCAGAATTTGGTTTAAAAAGTAGCTTTTGCCCACCTCATTAGTGACCTACCCCAGTGCATGTAAGTACTATGCTTAACTACAATAGGCTGGAAAGGGGAGAAAGAAACAGACTTGATAATTAAATTAGATTTTTTTAAAAAAATCCCCTTGTTCCTTAAAATTATTGTTAAAGTGAATCATTCTTCAGAGCACAAAATACTTTTTATAAAAGGTGTAACATGTTCATAAGATGGATCCCAATTTTCACCTTTCAGGCCTAACATACATCTTGTTGATAATCTCTAGTTTGTTTATTGGAACGTAACTCTGCTGGATCAAGTTAAGCTATTAGCTGACCATTGTTATCTAATTACTAGTACAAGCTAAAAAACAACAAATGATTTGGTAGCAGTTTATAGACTAGCATACTACCAGACCATTTGTTTTTTCCCTGTACAGAGTAACTCAGCTATCCCCTGAAGCTTTAGTACAAGCTAGTACATGAGTTGGGGTCTTCAAACAACTCTAGTTCTTACAGCTGCCAGGCTTGCATGTGTTGCAGAATGAGTGAAGTGTCAAGAATTGGTACATACTTATGGAGGTTGTTAGGTCATACTCAATAGCATCAAGAATGTTATTCTGATTCCTTGAAAGACCAGCATTAGTGATTGTAAGCATAGAGTATGTTTTCTATTACACCACATAGTAAGGGTTATACTAGCTGCTTGTGAACAACTCTACATACAACTGACTGTCCAAAATCCTGTTTATGGGATGCATAAAACTAGCTGCTTGTGAACAACTCTACATACAACTGACAGTTTTATGCATCCCCTAAACAGGATTTTGGACAAAGAAGGGTGTTTGCCCTCTCCAGCAGCATAATGGGTAACCTACAATAACCACCTTAATGGCTACAACATTGCTGATGGAAATACTGAGTTACAACAGCATTAATTTAGCACTCCCAGTTCAGACATTCTTCTGATGAAGACTGCAGTTTAGATTCTAGCATTGGATGTAGTGTTCATTAAGTGCATTGACAGTTTCCACATGAAACTCATGCTAAGTGATACCCACATTTAGAACTGACATTGAGGGGCTGGAAACCTGATATTACAATACAATTGCCATAAGCAAATTTGTACACTACACTGCTATTTAAACTACTCGTTTTAGTAGGTACATTCCACTGGCATGTGCTACTGTAATGCAAAGAGTCTATTTATGAAATCAGATTAGGATGGGAAGAGACTTCAAGAGGTCATGTGGTCCAACCTGAACTGTTTATACTTCTAAATTCTCATCTACACAGCAATGTAAACACTCTTACAAAGATCAGCTGTGAAATCCCACAAAACACAAGCTCTTTGGAGAGTCTTTAAGTGCAAATTGGAGAGAGTGAGGTCTGTTTATCTGTAAGGCAAAACATAGTACACAACTGACATCTAAAGGAAAGTAAGAACAGCATATGGCTAATTAAGTTATGTTGATTAAGTGTTACTTAATGAATCTTCCTTTAAGCAAAACACACCCAACACTAGCTTTGAAATTCAATGAATTAGACTACAGCACTCTCCCATTAGAAACAAATAGTTGCTTAGTCACTGTTAAAAGCTCCCTAGCTTAAGAATTCTGGAAGGTTGACCATATGTACTTCAGAGTATAAATAGTATTGTCATACAAGCAAGAAGGTATGTTGCTTTAAGATGATCAGTCTACTTGCTACTGTTAAATTAGCCTAAGTCACCCATGGCATTAATCTAAATGCAGGTATAATCTAATCTGCAAGGCTCTAGAACTTCATCAGTCCTTTTAGCTGTAAAATGTAATGTGCACAGTAGATTACTAGAAAGGGAGAGATTCACTCCATGAAACATTAGCAAGTCTTCTCTCCCCCTCCCCTTTACAATGCAAACAGTGAAAGTGAACACTTTGCTTGGTAGAATCTAAATGTACTATGCTGAGATTAGACTTCCATCCTGAGCAAATTTAACTTTTTGGACCACTGCTGCTTACCTACTGTAGTCTCAATATGAGATTGAGAGAATCAGAATACAGTTTGGCCTTGCTCTGTAGTAATTGTTTTCTAGTTATGACCTCCCTTGTGAAAAGTATCTCAGCACATAGACCTGAGGTAGTTTGAAAAAAGCCTTGCACAGAAAGCAGTAGGGGGCATTCTCTCATGTTTGAGAGATCACTTCTTGCAAGGGCTTTCTAGCAGCTTTTGCACTTAAAATCTACCTAGGGCTCTTTCCTTCATCCCCATTAAAAGCTGTGTTTTCTTCACAAGCAAAAGAGCATGGTAGCTATCAGAATCTATGCTATAAATCTGAGGGAAAGCCAACAAGAATTTTGGATACCACTAATTATGCATTAGGGATACAGAACATGGCAGCTAATATTAAATTGAGTGACTATAAATATAGCAACAGGGTAACAAAACCACCTAGAAAACATGGCTGTCATTGTTTAAGATATCTGGCCTTTGCTGTACATGTATGGGGAGGGAAAGAAGAGAACAGGCTTAAGTTAAATTTGTGTCGTCTTTACTTCACTCTATAAAACAAAAATGCAAATTTAAACAGCACCATTGCCACCTGTGGCCAGTAAAGGGCTTTACAATCTCAACAGTGTTTATTATTGGAAGGGGAGGAAAGGAAAGGGAATTTAGAGGAATTAAAGTTAATTTATAGACTAACTGAAGGAGGGCAATAGAATTAAAATAACACGAACTGTAGATCAATACAAAAAAGATG